GTATCGAAGATGATCAAAGGCTGCTCGTTTATGAGTTCATGCCTCGAGGAAGTTTGGAGAATCACCTTTTCAGAAGTAAGTTAAGTTTAAATCTTCCTCTTGTGTGTTGCCATTCATAATAGTAAGTGTTAATGAGTTAAAGGTTACTCCATATTCTCAAAAGTTGGAACATTTCTACACTTACATTTGTTTAAAGTTGGAAACTTTCTACTTCCAAATCTTAGATGGCAGGTCGATGTTTCTTGAACTTGTACTTGTGTGTTGTTGAAGGGTCGTTGCCTCTTCCATGGTCGATTCAGATGAGGATTGCTATCATCACATAATGTGATAACAGATTCAAAACTCATGAAATACCAAGTTTTTGTTCATTTATAATATTTTATTAATTGCTTTGTAAGGGTTTATAAATTTATTTATTAGAATTTATAAATTTATTTACAAGGGTTTATAAACTGATTTATGAAATCTTATAAACTGATTTATAAGATATTTTATTTTGATTTACAAGAATGTATGAACTGATTTATAAGGTAGCCTTCTTAACACTACTCCCACTAGCACTTCTTGAATTCAACATTTACAAGACTTCATAAATCATAATATAAGGTTAATAAGAACCTATAAGAGTTTATAAACCATTTATAAAGATTTATAAGGGTTTTTAAAATGTTTATAAGGGTTTATAAGAATTTACAAAGGGTTTACAGACCATTTATATGTGTTTATAAAGATTTCATATAGAATCTATAAGGTTTTATAAATTAATTATAAGGTTTTATATAGGTTTATAAGGGTTTATATGTTTGTAAAAAGTTTATATAAGATTTATAAGGCTTTATAAATGTTTCAAGACAACAACTTTGACCAAATGGTCTGGTAAACATTCATGGGCAATGATTTGAAAGTATAGGCCTTTGAGTTATGGTAAAGATGAGAGAATTAAGCTGTGTTAAACATAAGAGAATACGCGCAGGAACATAAGCTGTAATTTAATTTTAATAAATTGGCTTTTGATTTATAAGAATTTATAAAAGTTTATAAATGATTATTAAACAATGATTATAAACCAATTTTCCCATGTATGTTTATAATGGTGATTTATAAAGATTTATAAATTAATTTATTAAAGTTTATTTGTTGATTTATGAAATATTTATCAAAATAATTTTAAAGAATATTCGGATTAATCACATATTTTATTTATAATGGTCTATAAGTTTGATTTATAAGAGTTTATAAACTGATTTAAAAGGGTTTATAAACTAATTATAGGATTTATAAGGTTTTTCATTAATTTTAATAAATAAGCTTTTGATTTATAAGAATTATAAAGTGATTATAAAGGTTTATAAATGATTTAAAAATGATTAAAAGTTTGAATTTGTATATCTAAATTCAAAATCTAAAAGCCCTGCATAAAAAACATTATTTATAAGCTTTCATAATTTTCTTATAAACATTTATAAATGGTTTATAGATTTAATAACTTGTTTTATAAGCATTTATAAATGGTATAGACTTACAAATAATTATATGTATCTTTATAATTTGTTTTATAAACCTTTATAAAAGTATATAGTCTTTATAAATTGTTTTTATAAACATTTATAAATTATTTATATACCTTTATAAACCGTTATAAATTATCATAGAAATCATCTAAACTATTAAAACTGAAGTACACTTTGGAAGTAACCCTAAGTTTTTCTCAATATTTACCAATTCATGCCACTCACATTTAAAAAAAAAATTATAGTCTAGCTTACCCATTGAGATACATACGAAGCCCAATCTATATTTCTAAGCCCGATATATCTCCATAGTCTAATAAGATTGTTACATATTGTATGTAGCTTTTAACTACTTTACTGAAATTCTGGCGAATATGTAAATAATATTAACACTTTCTTTAGTGCAAGCCAAACAATAAAGCTATAAATCTATCATATTAGTTACCTAAATATAATCAAGCAATTAAAAATAAAATCTAGATTTCCATAAATAACGCATTCTTATAGGTTCCTAAATTTAAGATAACCACTAATTTCAAAAAGATAACCACTAATTAAATGAAATATCTTATATCGTGATACGTAAGAATTTCCCTTGAGCATAAATATGGAAATACGAAAGCTAACCGAATACACCGATATTCACACATATTGTTAAAGAAATATTCTTATTTATATGTCCTATGATCTCGCCTATATCAAGCCTAATTAATTACGATATTAAATGTAAACCCTATTTAATTTCGAAATCTATATATATATAGATACCTCTATTTCTTCTTTTCTACGCATTCACATATCAAAAAAAAAAACCTCTCTTCCTTCTTTCCAATGTTCTTTTGTTTTTCATTAACTTATGGACATTATCAATGTTATGTCACGTCCATGAACCTGAAACTATACAAAACAATAGTCCTAATTAGTATTTGGAAACAACAATGCAAACAAATTTCGTCCATCACAAGGGCTAAACTAATATATCGAGGTAGTATGATTTTTTTCTTTCTATTTTTATAGTCCACACTCATTTAAGTTAGAGAGTATGCTAAAATAATATTCGTAAAACCATTTTGTTTGTTGGTGTTTCTATAATTCTCTTTTTATTCAAGTTACTAAACTGAACTATCAAACCTCAGATTATAAGTAATGAGCTTGGTATCAAAGTCTCCCACGCTGAGGATGTGTTTGGTTATGAACTTGCCATATGTCCTCGAACATGTTCCTTGGCAGAGAAACGCTTGGACTGTTTGATGAGGGAAGAAGCTCGAGATTTACAGTTTAGTTCCGATTAAAACAAACAAAACATAAAGATCATCTAAAAACAGAACTGATTGTAAATAAAAACAAACAAGGTTCAACCTTTATATACTAGCGTTATTCACTAACACTCTAATAAAAAAGATGGCAGATCTAAGAAATATTGAAATAATTTTATCTATTGAATTAATTATAAAAAAAAAAATTAAACGTCTACAATGAAATTTGAGCAAACAAATTATCTACTAAAAAATTAACCTTTAATATAAGAGGTTAATTCTTTTCAAAAATGGACTTATAAAATAGATTGAGGGATTTTGATGAACATACAAATCGATGATGTCGAGATTCTGTATTTAATTTAGGTTTTTCGAGAAGTTTTTACTTGAAGAAAAGTAAAAAAAATTGTTGGCTTTTTTTTTTTTTTGTTAGCTTCTTCATTAACACATTACATAACCAATTTTTTTCTGAAGTAATTAAGGGGCCTAATGGACATTGAAGAAATTAATATATTTAATATATGGACCAGATTTTATGTAAATTGGAATAGTGATTTAGGAATTAGAATTTAAAGCCCAACATTATAAATCATAGACCTTTAAACTTTTATATAAAACAAAGTAAAAATATTATACAGTGAAACTTCTATTAATTTAGAGAGATATTAATTTATCGATATACTAATCGAACCAAAAACTCAATTTGAGACTATAAAATTATATTATTTTTTATATAGATATTTAGTGTATATTAATTTGTAGAGGTTCTACTGTATTTGTGTAGTACTTAATGGTTGTTCTTTTCTGTGATAAATATTAAAACCCAAATTGAATTATATATTATATATTTAACAAAAACAATTTTTGTAAATACGGTCTTATAATTTTTTGTTTAGTTACATATAATTAGTAAAGGATTAAATATTGAAAAAATAGTATAATTAATAATAATCAATATAAAACTAAAATTTTTAATGAAAATTTTTAAAATGTTGTTGAATTTTGGAATAAATTAACAAAAAGCAAGTTGTTAATATATGATTGGTACAATATAATAGAAAACAAAATGCACAAGTTATAAAATTCTAGATACAAACAGCAAAAGTTATAAAATTTTATGTACATAGATATAGCATACGTTTTTGGATTTCTGCAGAAAATATAAAGAAATATTCTTTTTTGGATTTATTCAGAATTTTTAATTTCTCACTCAACCTCTCTCTGCATAAATATAAAGAACAAAAATCTTTTTTTGAATATTGTGTTTTTAGGATTTTAAATTTGAATATTTAAATATTATAAATTTCTAGCGGGTTTTTGAATCAGATTATTTTTGATTTGGGTAGGTGTGTAGGAATCGAAACATATCCGAATAAAATATATGTTTAAAATTTTCACTAAATAGTTATTTTAAAAAAAATTCAAAACCCGCGCGGGCGCGCGGGTCAAAATCTAGTTATAAATTGTTTTATAAACCTTTCTAAATGGTTATAGATTCTTTTAAATGATTTATGGACCTTTTAATTGCTCTTTTATTGAACTCATCTTCTGTAAAAAAATCAAACATTAAATCCAATAATCTGATAGAACAAACATCAGCAACATATAAGCACACACACATGTAGATGTAGACAACAAGGGGACTAGCGCATACAAATAAATGATTTATAAGCCTTTATAAAATGTTTTAAGACTTTATAATTGAATTATCTTTAGAATTTCTACAAATCCTTATCAATAATTTTGTAAACCCTTATAAATAGTTTTATATGTTCTTATAAATGATCTATTGATTATTATAAAAAAGTTTCTATATATTCTTATAAAGTGTTTATAAACAGATTCAAAAGGGTTTATAAATGATACAAACCCTTTTAAATTCTTAAAAATGAAATACCAAGTTTTTGCACATTTATAAAATTTTACTAATTGATTTATAATGGTTTATAAATTTATTTATTAGAATTTATAAATTGATTTATAAGGATTTATAAATGAATTTATAATGGTTTATAAATGGATTTACAAGTGTCTATAAACTAATTTATAAATGTTTATAAACTGAAATAGAATAAAATGAATTTTTTTCTGTGTTATAAAATGATTTATAAAGGTTTATAGTTTGATTTATAAAAGTTTACCAACTGATTTTTGTGTATATATAAACTATAATTTTAGATGTTTGAGATTATCACATCCACTGAATGTTTGGATCACTACGTGTAGTCATTCATCACATTCGTTCCTGAATGTTCTTAGATATCAGCAGAGTTCCCATTCCAGACCCTGTGCCTCCACCAAGCGAGTGACATACTTGGAAACCTGTTAAAAAATCATACAAATCAGTGCTATAGAAAAACACAATCAACTGTTTTTAGTTCTGAAAACAGCAACAAAGAGTTGTTAACATACCCTGAAGACAGTCACAATTCTCAGCCTCCTTACGAACAACNCTTGGAAACCTGTTAAAAAATCATACAAATCAGTGCTATAGAAAAACACAATCAACTGTTTTTAGTTCTGAAAACAGCAACAAAGAGTTGTTAACATACCCTGAAGACAGTCACAATTCTCAGCCTCCTTACGAACAACATCAAGCACAACATCAATAAGCTCAGCTCCTTCAGTGTAATGCCCTTTAGCCCAGTTATTCCCAGCACCAGATTGCCCAAAAACAAAGTTATCAGGTCTAAAGATTTGACCATAAGATCCAGTTCTAACACTGTCCATAGTACCAGGCTCAAGATCCATTAGAATAGCACATGGAACAGCTTTACTTGACTCTGTCTGATTCCTTTGCTCTGCTTGACATTATTTTATCAGACAAATCCCCAAACTTTCACATTTGTAATATATGCGTGTCTCTACATAATACAGAAAACAGAGACTCATGTCTTTTATTCCAACCATAATCAACATACAAATACAATCACTGAATCAGACTCTTAAACCACAACCCCCATACATATATAATGGCACACTTCACAAGTAATTGGACACAAATGAAAAACCTCTCACATCACACTTTGACCGAGAAGATCTCACTCAGGGAACTCCAAGTTNCTGTTCTCCTGAAGATGACTTGGTTTCAATTATCACAGAGTAGTTGTCTGAAGACTCAGCTAAAGAGTTCACAACCATGTTATGTCCTTTCTTGAAACTTGAATCTCTAATCAAGAACTAATCTCTAATGTATACAGAAAATGTAACCAATCAAGAACTAGGGGTTAGTTTAGATTTTGTATAAGCTGAAGATGAAGATATAAGCTTTAAATGAATCAAGAAGTAAGTCTGGGACGACAAGATCTTTCAATGCAGTCTACACGAAGAGATACCACAGCGAACGCACTACCTAATTAGTCTACGAGAATCTGAACACTAATAGATTACTACTTGGCATGGAGATGAACTCATCAAAGGTTATTATAACCTACGTTCAGCCAACATGTATCATGTATAAAATAGAAGAGAAAATATACACATTTACACTAGTATAAACAGTCAGCATCAATATCGTAGGATTTATACTGGCCATAAAACTCAAGGTTTTAAGATAGACACAATAGATCATATATATAGAAACATAATTATTTGCCTACCCCACTGTATCAGAAACCATAAAAAACCAGAATCAACAAATCTCTTGTAAAGAGTTGCAATGACTGAGGATGTTGATTAACCAACTCGTCTCAACTATTCAACGATGAATCTAACAAAGAAACTCACTCCAGAAAAAAAACAAGCAACATTTTTTTTCAGAGCCACTTGGGTAATAATCACTTTATTCAAATATCTTCATTGCTAATACCAACTCTTGAAAGACATTAACCATAAACCAGATCTAAGCAAAATCAAAGGTCATCCTAAGACTTAATCAATCAACATTATCATGAATCAAATCCGAAACGCTATGATAATGACTTTCAACAAAGCCGCAGATGAATACAACCAGATGTAACCACGCGATTCATACGATAAACGAAATGGGGGAAGACTTTAACCTCTTTCTCCGAAAACTCAGATGCTTAAGGGAGGACGAAATTGACGGTGAGCTTCGTCGGGATCGAAGAGGCGGTAGAAGGACGGGCTTTCATGAAGGTAGAAGGAGTCTGAGGCGGGTCCATGTTGGTCACGATGGTTCCAGGAGCTGGATGAGATCTCTATCTCGTGGTATATCTTCATGTTCGCCGTCCTTTAGAAGCTCCGGTTCGTTTTTTACCGGGAGCAGTCGTCGTGCGAGGGTGATGGCGGTAGATTCAGAGGCCGGAGAAGAGATCAGCCTTTTTTAATCAAGAGAAGATAGAGCTAAGGGTAGTATTGTCTTTTGTCATTAATAAATTGTGTATTTATGAAAATGTCCCTTGAGTGGTGGTAAAGTTGAATTGTGGTACAACAAAAATGGTATTTTTGTAATTGTCCCTTAAAGATATGAGATAAAAAAACTCAGATGCTTAAATTTGAGGTTTATATAGTTTAATATTGAAGTTATATAATGATAAATCAGAGTTTAAATGTTTATGTTTTAGGGTTTAGGGTTAACAAATATATTTAGGGATTAGGGTTTCAGATAGCCACGGAAAATATGTGGCAGTACAGTGGCTATTTTCTAAAAGCCACGTTAAAACAGTAGCTATACCGTGACTATGTGCCAGCCACTTACATATTCTGGGGTAAATTTGTGACCATGTACTTAGCCACGAAAATATATAGTTGTCATATCGTGGGTTTTTATCTAGCCACGGAAATTTTAGTGGTTGTGGCCGTGGCTAATAAAAAAAATATGGTTAATCCATGGTGAAACCGTAGCTTTTTTTTTAGGTAGCTACGTTTTAGAGTGGCATTACCGTAACTATGCGGTAGATTTCTACTAGTGTCGGGTTTTATCCGGCAAGAAGATTTGCCTACTGTGACTGACACAGTGAAACAGAATCACAGGCTCTTGGTTTTCACTTCTGTTGTTGCAAAAGAAGATGAAGAAGGCTTTGCTTATCTGTGGAGATACATTGTCGAAAATGAATGTGAGTTATCACTCTCTCAAAGTTTATAATCCTTTTTCTTTTTTCTTTTTGTCTTTGATGACCTTTTTTTTGCTATCATCCTATGTTAAAGCTGGAGATCCAGGTGTGAAGCGAGGTTCTTGTCCGAACAGAAAAGAATCACAGCCTTTGAATTCAAAAAGCTCATATTTTTTCTTGATGAAATACTTCCCAACGTTTCCGGTGGAGAAAGATGCTTGCAATGAACACTCAGCTCCACTTGCTGAGATGGTTGGGACTTGCCTCAAGTTAGCAGGGAATAGTATGCCAAACTTTCTTGCTGCTAACTTCTACATGGTACTCAATGAATCTTTAAACTTAAATATTGACACTTTCTGCAAGTCTTACTAAACAAAACCATGTGAAAAAACATTGCAGAGAAGTGATGGAGGAGGCGTTTTCGAAGTTCTAGATATAATGAATGGACCAGTTATTCGCGGTTGTGAAACTCTTGCTGCCTGCCAGGTAATATAGCTTCTCTATTCGCAGGTAATTAGCTTCTCTTACATCCCTAAACCATCTAAAACATTGGGTTTATTTGATGTTGCAGCCAGAAGCAGCTTATGGTTCTTGCAAAAACCTTACTCTTCAGACAAGAGCTCCAGACATGGAATCAACTGCTGGAACCTACTCAGGTTCAGTTCAGTTCTCAAGATCCTTAGCTGCTGTTTCCTATTCACAAAACACCATTGTTTTCTTGTGCTTCTCATGGCTTCCATTGCTGGTGTTTACTATGACACAGCCAACCATTCCACACTAGAGATGAATGATAGAGATCCTTAAGTTGAGGATAAGTTAGAAAGAGTTTTCTGATTTGATTCTTGTTATTGTTAGACTGCAGATTTATAGTCAGAAAGCGTGTGTGTATGTGTGGTAGCGTTTTCTTGCACCATTTCGTCTTGGTTTCTCTAAATGGTATCTCAAATCACTGTGGCGGAGTGATCTTGAGGGAGAGATGTTTTAGTCATACACACTTGGTGTTAATTTGTAAATGAGTTCTTAATCATATGTTATTTAGTTATAATGTTGTATCAAAAGGTGTGTGTAAAAGTCGTGACTTTAGATTGGAGAGTTATGTCTCTTATTCTAAAAGTCACAATGTTTAGTCAAGTATTGTCAAACCTATATAAGTGTAGGTGTTGTGTCTTAATAAAATGACAAATTCCAGTAATATTCTATTTTCTATAATAAAACAGAACACGTATTTTTTTCTATTTCACAAGAAAATTTTTTTCTCCAACCGGTATAGTTGATGAATGGCAGTGTCTTGGATGTGCTTCTCCGTAAAAATCATTTTTCTGAACCATGAATGTGGAATATGTGTCTGATAATGATCAAATTTTCTAAAATTCTGTCATTAAGTATAAGTATTTTTTATTTTTATTTTTATTTTGAATTTTGAAAATTTGTGTTTTATTATTTATCTATTTGTTTTAACTATATGAATTAAAATGTTTTAAGAGAATAGATGGTGACAGTAGTGGATCAGAAATACTCTATATTGAACCTTTTATTTTCTTATAAAAGATAGTGAAATTAGCGGATAAAACTAATAATTACTATACCGAATAAAGAAAGAATTGTGTAGCAGCAAAGATAATTGCGTTTACTGAACGTCTTTTAGTCAACTTATTCAGTTAATTAATAAATTACTTTGTATCACTTAAATCTCAATATTAAAAATGTCTAAATATATATATATATATATATATATATATATATATATATATTCATTCTAAAATTTGTATATGTTTTCTAATGAGTACATATCTATTTTATATACAGTTTAAATAATTTTAAAATTTTATTTAAAATAATAATAGAAATCTCGATTAATGTTGAAATGTTGTTTCTTTTTATTTTAGATATTTCATTGTGATATGTTGTGTCTTCTGTATCTTTTCATTTTAGAGGTTACATGTTATATATCAAAATATTGAAAGGTTATCTCTTTTAATCTTTTGTGTCTTTTCATTTTATAAGTTGTGTTGATTCTTAAAAAGTTATCAAAATATTGAAAGGTTGTGTCTTTTCATATTATGAATTGTATTGATTTGTAAGAAGTTATCAAAATATTGAAAGGTTCTATCTTTTCATTTTAGAGGTTGTATTGATTTCTAAGAGGTTATCAAACATTGTGTCTTTTCAGGTTGTATTGATATTTAAGAGGTTGTCAAATGTTTAGGATGTATTTTTTCATAATAATAGTGTATTTTCATCTCACATTGCAAAATTTTTGTGTCTTTTCATTGTAGAAATTACATTTGATTCTTAAGAAGTTATTAAAATATTAGAGTATTTAGACAAAATAGGTTGCTAAATGAGACGAAATAGGGCAGTGAGTTTGTTAGAACATGTACATTGATGAACTCCTGGTTGGGGGTTTATAACTTAGTTTTTTATTATTATTTTTTTCATCAGACATTTTTTTCTAAAAAAAAATAAAATTACACTGACCAATAGTGAGCTGCCACGTAGTATGGGACCCGCAAAACAGTGATGAACTCCACCCCTCACAGGTTCACGGGAGAGAGCTGAAGAGAGACAGTATCATGACCAGAAGAGTTTTTTAATCTTTTTTTTTCGAAATCCGTGTGAACTTTTTCCATGTACTCTCAATGTACATGGTCTTATTAATTTCCTTACTAAATAATAAAATAAAAACTTATTTGCTAGATTCTATATAGTGAACTAATACAAAAAATACACAATCATGTAATAAAAACAAAGAGAGTATATGGCATATGTGTTCTTAAGAAACTCTGAGCTAAACTATTCAAAGAACTGTCTCAAGCTAATTATAGATAATTGTGTAAAAATATACAATAAAATTATTACTTATAAGTGAATTTAAATGTTTATAAAAAAAATTATATGCCAATAAAAGTATTCTCAAAAATATCAATGATTGAAGACATTTTACTAATAATTTTTCTTATGAATTTTATTATTGTAGTATTAAACTTAACCCTTTTAGGATTAAATTATTTTATCATTAAGTATAAGTGAACATTTTTGTTCTATTTAGTTTAACTATATGAATTAAAATGTGTTAAGAGATTTCACTTTTGTTTATTATTATATAAATACCCATAATTTAATATACTTTTATTTAAAAATTATGTTTAAAACTTAATATATATAGTTCGCGGGGTCCGAATCCTAGTAACAATAATAGAGATCACAAGTATGATAAAACCCAAACTAAAAACTCGAACAACTTATATTTGTTATGCTCTTGGTCTCTCTCTCTACTCCTCTGTTATTTGCTTTGTATCGGATGATTGTAACCTTCACCTATGGTCTGGTCTTCTTATATAGCCCATCACATTTTCCTGTATGACTTTGTATAATTTCCTTTTGTCTTTGAGAAAATATTAACCGACCTTTTCCTGAGAAAAGGAAACTAACGTTTCTTTGGTTACTTGCTGTGCTGGAATGGGCTTCAAGTGTTAAAGTTGAGGGTTTTCTCGAGCAGCTTCAGATTCTACTGGAAAAGGATGATGATGGAGTGGAGATGGCTATGAGTGATTTGGATGCTGGTGTTGATCACATGGAGGATCAAGAGTCTTTTGTTAACGTGCCCCTGATCACCTTTTAATGGCAAAGAGGCAAAGAGATAAAATAACTTGTTCTGTCCAAGTTAATAATGTTAAACCTCTCTTTTATTGTTATTTTTAATCTATAATAATAAAGTCTACAATTAAATGTTTATCTTTAAAAAAAAAAAAAAATATAGTGCAATACACTAAATATACTCATGTTCTGTCCAACTTATAACTAAACCTCTCTCGTCCTCTTTTTCTCTTGTCTACTGTTTTGCTTTCTTGCACTTCGTTTTTGGTGTGTGTGGAAGAGAAAAGAGGACGAGAATGATTGTCTTGTATCTTTGACCAATTGCAATCTATTTAAACATTGTTTCAGTGCTAGCTATTACTCGTTGATTCCTTAGAAAACTGATTGGGTGTTTACATGTTTGTGATTTTGAAATTTTACATAAGCTTGCCGCTCTGTTGATATCTTTAAAACGGCTTTGTGTGTTTGTATAAACAAAACAATAAGATTTATGTGTGTCACTATGCCACAACAGCTTAGAGTACCATTACAATGGTAAACTGATTGATTGATTCTCTTTTGAGTTATATATTGCACTGAGTCAGATATTACAACACAATACAACCTCTAATGTTATTCTTTTGTATAAGAGCTAGATGTCCAAAGTCGTCAAATCATATGGCTAACAGTTTTGGAAAGCTCTGATTTTGTGGGTATAGTTAGGTGATTCCGTTTTATTCATCATTACCCACTAAACTACAGAAAAGAGGTTAGAGTGAATGTGTCATGACCCAAACCCACCCAATACACAATTCCCAGCCCATTACCCAAGCCCAATCGTTTTGGCCCAAGGTATCCCATATAAAACCTATTTTCTTCCCCAATGTTTCATTTCATGCAAGTGAAAGAGAAGTTTTAGAGAGAGAGTTGAGAGAGTGATTGGTTTTGTAGAGAGAGAGTCGCCTGAGCTTGTCGCCGGAGCCACCACGTCCAGAGTACCCGTCCAGCTCGTCACCGCCGACCCCCAGCCTAGGTAACCACCGCGGAACCCCCTTGAAACCATGAGCTTTAAGTTAGTTTTATCCGTTTAGTAAACCGGCCATAACTTCCTAACCGTTGAGAATCTGTTGCATGCAAGGCCACCATCGTGTTCTACTTGTCGAGACGAAGCCGTAGACCCCGAAGACGCCGAGATCCGACACCGGAGCCGCCGTCACGCGCCCGTCGAAGATCGTCCTCCGCGCGCGCGTGAAACACACGCGCCGCCGGAGCCTCGCCGGAGCCACCGCACGCGCCGCCGGAGCCACCGCACGCGCCGCCGTCGCCTCGCCGGAGCCGCCGCACCTCCGCCGTCCGTCCGCCGCCGGTGACCGCCGGTAAGCCACCGTCCTTTTCGCCGGAGCCGGTGACCGGAGACCGGTGACTCGCCGGTGACTCGGTCAACTCGGCCGAGTTGACTCGGCGAGTCAACCGTTGACTCGGTCAACCGGTTTAGGCTGGTCAAAATCGGTTAGTTGTTGGTTTACTTAAACCGGCGGTTAAAATTGATTTGAAATCAGTTAAGGATAAACCGAATTGAAATTGATTTGGTTTTGGTTCAATTGAAATCGAATTCGGTTAAGGAAAACCGGTTGGTCCAATTCGATTTCAATTTGGTCAAGGGTTGACCGGCTTGGGTCAAGGTTGACCGGGTTGACCTTTGACCTGCGAGTTGACTTTTCCGAAATTGTCCGTTTTCGACCGTTCGAAGGTCATTCTGACTCGGAATTTCGATCTGATTTCAGATTTGGGATCTATTTGAGCATCTGGAGTTCATAGAGACCACTTTCCCCAGTTGCTAAGGTGAGGGTCTACTTCCGAACGATTCGTACACGACTTAGAATTTTAAATAAGTATAATTTATTTCTATTATGTTCCGTCTGCGTGAAATCGAGTCTGTCATTGCTTGCTTAGTTTTAGGTTCTGTGCCTAAATCGGAACTAGGTGGTTAGATGGTTCAACATTGATTGATTCGCTTAATGTAATTCACGTAGTTAGGAATTGTTTTGGCCGGATATAGTAAGGGACCTCTGTATGCCGGATTGTATGGGGGCTACGGACGGCTGTAGTCGACCGGCCGGGTCGTAGTCTGTTATGGCCGATAAATCGTCTTCGGGCGGTGTGACTGGGCACTTAACCCAGCGTTTGGCCTGTTAGTGGGCAGCG